CTGGCTGCCGGTTTCTGCTTCTACATCCCGAAAGATTCTACTGCCCACCTGGCATGTATTGCGCTTTTTGTCTTCATCTTCGCTGCATTCTATTCTCCTGGTGAGGGTCCTGTTCCGTTCACCTACTCTGCCGAAGTTTTTCCACTGTCCCACAGAGGTAAGTCTTCAACGATATGTACATACCATTATATGCTTACCCCTTCTCAGAAATCGGAATGTCCTGGGGTGTGGCGATCAATATGGGCTGGGCTTCGGTCCTCTCCATCACCTTCCCGCGTATGCTTGCAGTGATGACCCCAACCGGTGCCTTCGGGTTCTACGCGTAAGTCGCTCCGTGCATGGTTCAAGAATCTAGCCTCTGATCCATTACACCTTAGGGCCCTCAACATCACTGCTTTAGTTATGATCTTCTTCTGGGTCCCTGAGACCAAGCAGCGGACTCTCGAAGAGCTTGACTACATCTTCGGAGTACCCACAGCCATGCACATGCGCTATCAACTGTTCCAGGTGCTCCCATGGTGGGTCAATCGCTACATCTTCTGCCGTCGCAGTGCTCACCTTGAGCCCCTGTACAAGCTCGACCACCTCGCGACCAGCGGCTAGATTGTCAAAGAACGATTTACAGCAGGCCTGTCGACGCTCCTCGCATCCATCCTGCTCGAGCAAATTTCCTTATGCGTGTTTCCTTTGTCAAGATGAAAATCCTCAGTGGTTGTAATATTCACTTCCGGAGTCTACGTGGCATAAATGTGTCAGACCGAATCTGGAGGGAAATATCACTTTTACCATTATGAGAGGTCATGTAATACGTTAGTTAAAAATGAATGACTATCTACGATTAGTCAACCGTACGTTTACAGATGATTTTGCGGATCATCGCATGCTTGAGCTGTCATTATAGACTTCCGAGTATACGGCTTAAGCGTGGTTCGAGAAGCGGTCCCAGTCTTCTACTGTAACATCGTGATTGAATCCTTTCTATGCTATATCTTCACGCTGATCTCTGGAGAAAGTGATCATTAGCAATGTACACCTCTGAATGAGAGTTAGCGGACTTTTACGAGACAAGATGCAGGGAGTCGAAATCCTCGGAAGAGAATTCCGGCGGGGAGCGGAACCCCCTCCCTCTCGGAAAACACCCCCTCACTTTTGTTGGTTGTTGTCCCCTCTCAAGTGGTCGCCCGATATTCGGCGCATCACAAGAGGAACATAAGTAATTGCCCCATCATTAGAACCATTAAATCCAGATGCTAAAACTGACCAACGACATTATTATCCAAGTTCCGATGCTTATTCCCAACATCACAACTTGCTAGATCCGGAGCGACCCTAGCCGATACCCCCTCCACACGTCGAACCCCACCGACTCATAGAACCCCTCCAATACCACCCAGTCAACCATCACCCCCTGCACCCCGCGCTCCCGGAGATGCGCCAGCGCATGCGCCAGCATCGCCACCCCGACGCCCTTGCCCCGGTGGTCCTTGTCCACGCCCACGCACCCGATCAGCCCGGTGCGGGAGTCTGGGCCCCCGCAGACGGGCGGCAGTGCCCATTGTGTCTGAAGCAAAGGGGAGGACGGGTCGAGCATCAGCGTCCAGCCGATCTGGTGGCCTTGCGGGCTGAAGACGGCCATGATGCTGTTGGGGTGCGTTTTCGGGTGGAGGGTGATGTAGGTTTGGACCCAGGCCTGTGGTTTAGTTTAAATACATGTTAGTCAAAGCTATCTGGTTTGTCTAGGGGAGAGGAAGAGAAGAGAGGGGTGTTCTTTTAACCTGGTTATGCGAGAAGTTCCTCCGCTGTCCGGCGATGCATTCCTCATAGTGATCTGGTTGGAGCGGGGCGAAGGTGTAGCCCTGCCTTGTGGCTTTGGCAATGTGTCTCTCCTCGAGGTGGAAGTCGGTGATGGTCCGGTAGAGGTCGACGTGGCGCGGGGGCGGTGTGGTGAAGATGAAGCCCCGGTTTTCGAAGAATTTTGTTGCCGCTGGCGGGAGGTCGTCGGGGAGGCCCGGCCAGAAGCGCGGGAATGAACTGCTCAGGTCGAGGCGGGTGATCTGGTGGGTGGTCGTGTACCAGGCGATGACTTCTTGGAGGAGCGTACTCCCAATGCCCTGGTTTTGGGCGGCCGGGGAGACGGCGATCGCGGAGAGGTAGGCGGATTTCTCGTCGTCGGTCGTGCGGGAGTAGGTCAGGCAGAAGCCGATTATGGTGTTGCCAGTGCGGGCCAGGAAGTGGTGGCCGTGGGATTGGGGGAGAAGTTTATGGAGGCTCTCGAGGGGGAGAGGGTAGGTGGGTAGGGAGGTGTTCCAGATGGTGTGCACTTGTTTGAGGTCTTCGGGGTCGTCGAGGGGAGAAAGTTTGATGAATAGTCGCGGTTCCTGGGTGCTAACTGGGAGTTTGCCTGTTGCCGTCGCGGCGCCGAATATCGTCGCTGCGGCGGCCGAGAATGCCTCCAAGGTGGGCTCGTACGTGGTGATATAGGTGCCAATAGTAGGATCATCGAGGAAGTCGTAGGGGTTGCAGGCCGCAATGCTTACCAGTGCTCGAGCACGGTTGAGCAGTCCCTGTCCCATTTTTCTCTGAAATGGTGATTCACGCGCGTTGATTGTAGTGAGGATAACGGCGTCAGCAGCCTCGACATTTCGCCACTCCTCCGCAGACAAGCCTGCTGCTCCGTAGCGGATTTCGGTGACGGTTGGGTTGTAATGTCTTAGAGCATCAAGATATACGGATCCGTTGTACGATCCCTTTCGACCAAGCCCCTCTCCATCTACTGCACCTCCAGCCGGGGTTTCGTCTCCAGGAAAAAGTAAAATGACCTTGCATGACCTTGAGACTGGTAGAAACTTCGATGTGTCTCGAACGACTGTTACCGACTTGGTATAGGCATCGTCGGCCAGCTCGCGATTTTGCAAGTCGATTTCACGGAATCTCGATTCAAAGGCGTCATCGGTGTGCAGTGCTTCCTCCCAGCTTAAAAGTTTCTGCTTGAGCTGGGTCACACGTCGGTACGCTTCTTCTATCCTAGTCATGGAGAGTCGACCTGCTTCGACAGCCTCGCAGACACGGCGAATTGACGCAACTTGAACATCGTAAGTGTGGCAGATCATGAGGCTATCGCTACCAGCTGCAAGGGCCAAGACGGAGCCTTCTTCAGTGCCATAGGTCGCACGGATTCCGTCCATCTCCAGACAATCTGTGAGTATCATACCATCGTACTCCATTTCGTCCCGAAGGATACTGAGCACATCAGGCGAGAGAGTAGCTGGGAGCTTGCCATCTCCCAGGCCGGGTAGGGAGATATGTGCGGTCATAACAGCCTCGATCCCCTCGGCTGTCGCTCGCCGAAATGGCACGAGCTCACATTGCTCTAGTTGCTCCCGCGTCTTCGAAATCACAGGAAGCCCATAGTGGGAGTCTGTGGCAGTATCTCCATGCCCGGGAAAGTGCTTAACGCAAGATATGACGCTGTGCTGGCGTTGGCCTCGGGCGATCGCGCTTGCGAATCGGCCAACGAATTCTGGGTCGTCGCCCGGACTGCGTACGCCGATAACGGGATTCAATGGCTCGGAATTAATGTCACAGACGGGACCATAGTTCATATTAATGCCGACATGTTTCAGCAATTGCCCTGTTGCCCTTCCAACTTTGTATGCAAGATCGGTTGAGTTAGTCGCACCCAGAGCCATGGGCCCCGGGAGCTGCGAGGCCATTGGAGGTGAGATTCTGGTGACCCATCCATTCTCCTGATCGATACTGATGAAGAGGGGATGGGTGTAACCAGCTAGTTGTGCTTCCCGTTGCAGAGCATCCGTCAGAGCCTTGTAGTGGAGGCTTTGGATTAGCCAGTAGGTTGCGATAATGATTCAACAAGTCGAGCCTACCCGTAGTTGTGCAACGTCGGTGATGTTTCTTTTGAAGAGAACAATGCCTCCAACTCCGTATTCGTGGATCAAGGTCTTGATCTCGGTACTAGGTCCCAGACCATGGAAGCCGACTACAAATAGCTGGAGCTTGGTTAGCTATTTTCCGGATACTGTAGGGACAAGCCTACCTGGCCGACTCTTTTCTGCAAATCTGCAGACGACATCTCAGTAGAAAATCGATTGGTGGGGTTTAATCTGAGGAACCAGTGGCAGACAGCACTCCCAAAACAGGGGAATGAAAGGGTAAATGGAAGGTGTTGGATACAATGGAATGAGGGGAAGAATCGATGGGGAACGGCAACGTTACGGAAACTGATTATCTTATCGATCTCATTTGCTAGCCAGAGTCAGCCTGAACCCCACCCGTTTGTAGTAAGGTATGCGAAGCACGTTCCTATACTTGAAGATTTGTTCAAGCACTTGCTTAGGCGTCATCATGCAGCTTGGGGGGTCGATTGTCATTCTAGGAAGCCGGTCAGGGCTCCTTTCGAGGGTAGGATTCCAATAATACGTTACTTCAAGACACCAGTTGTACAAATTCTATATATAAACATAAGCATCGGGCAGCTCAGCGTCACCTCGAGTCAAGAACTACTGGATAGATGAAGGTCTGCATTTCTGGTCGAGTTGGCTTTAGAGAAACTGCGTAGACTTTTATTCACAGTGAACAACCTTTACCAACCAAGGTAGCTCATCAAGGAGGAGTCCGTTGGTGTTGTGCGTGTAACGCCTCGGTTCAGCAAGGTCACATGATTTTAATCAGAACTGCGAGTATATAAACACTACAAATTTGTATAGATTTTTTGTTCTTACCACTTTTATAAATCTACAAGGTAGTAAGCTTTTCCTCTTTTGGGTCAGTAACTCTATTAGTACTACATCTTATATCAACAGAGTCTAGTTAGGCCAGCTAAGCCGAGTCAGTAATTCACCCAGTCAACACTTTCTGGGCGCTATGAAATTGTCCTCACTCCGACACTCACCTCTCTATCTCCCTCGAGAAACGATCTTACGGGCAAACAGCCCAGTCATCAACCGTCTGGCTCTTGACCATCTCTAGATCAAGCTACAAGAATGGCTTCCTCTGACCCGGATCAGAAGTCTGTTGATGTCAAGGACGATGTTCACACAGAAAAGCCAGGTGATCTGTTGGCCAGCATTAAGAAGTAGGTACCTTCTTCGGTCACCCCATTAGCAATCTATGGAAGAAAAGAATCTGATCAGAATAGTTACTACTCGTCATCGGAGTTCTCCGACCTCACCGTTCACACCCTTGACCAAGATTTCCAGGTTCATCGGGTAGTCGTCTGTGGGCAGTCCGAATATTTCTCTCGTCTCTTCCAAGGCACATGGCCGGTAGGTTTCCATGTGCCGGAGTAACAAAAAGAAAATACTATAACTACTTTCAGGAAGCAAAGGAGAACGAAATTCACCTCAAAGAAGACGAACCCCGTGCGATAGAAGCAATGTTCCAATTCATGTACGGATTCGAATACGACAGCAGCGGCAGTGACCAAGGCCGCACATCACCCATGCTGTTGAATGTCAAGGTTTATCAGGTTGCAGATAAATACCAGGTCCCCCGGCTTAAGGACCGCGCAAGAGAGAAGTTCAAGTCTATCGTGGAGGCGTGCTGGCAGATGGACGACTTTCCCGTTGCGATAGAAGAGGCATACAAGCGTACCACTAAGGAGGACAGGAGTCTCCGAGACATTCTTGTGAGGACTTCCCAGGAACACATCGGGGAACTGGAAGCTAGCGAGGATTTCCGTGGAGCTCGGTAGGATCTTGGATCATGCTTGTGCAGTGAGATTTGTTTGGACTGCTTGGATCTTATCTTCTTGAGCTTGTTTTGACTTGAAAAAAAAAAGAGCCACCTGTCTCAAAGGTAGAACTATTACAATGAAATCTTCATCGCTGCAGATGACAGTTGGATATTACGTTGTGATACAGATTAGAGTTGGCACAACACCAATGAGCCGCACACTTCCCTTTGCCTTTATTGTGTTGGAAGTATCCTCCGAGGCAGAGCTAGATGATGCATCAACAAGTATCAAAGGTGGTATAATTGACTTACATAAGGTTGTGCTGTCTTCACCAGAACCTTTATGATTATAAAGCTGGAACACCATAGCAGATCAATCAGGAGCAATCACGACACACGTTCTACCAAAACAGTACTCTAACTATATCGAAAGGAGCACTTGAGGAAGCACTAGCACATATTCTAGACCGATAACGGCACAGAGTCCAGGCAAGTCTAATAGATCTTAAATCAATGCGACTGAGATTATATCATGATCTTCAATATTTCTTTGTTCTATGCTATGTCAAGTTAAGCAAAAGGCAATGGCTGGGGAGTTAACGGGGCTTAACGGCGATAAGAGACCTCGTTCTCTGATCCTTCTACTCCTCCCATCCAAAGGATTCTCCCTCATGACACTAGCCACGGTTGAAGGACTAAGCTTCATAGACTGAGCCGTACTAGTCCCTGTTTGCAAGTTCATAGCGACCGACATACACCACCCGGACTTACTCGGTTCGGACTTTAGCACCATGGTTTAGTATTTGATCACAATGGAACCCACTTCACCTTCAGCAAGCTCAACTCATTGCTGTAAGCACAACTCTATTTTCCGCCACCCGAACCACAACTCCAATCACACAACCATGATTCCACTAATCACTCTCGAAGAACACTACAGCTCGCGCAAAGTGAGCGAAGCAAGCCCCGAGGCCCAGGCCCACTACGCCGCGTTTCCCCCGCCCATCCGCAGGAAGCTCGAGGCGCTGGGCGACGAGCGCATCCACGATCTCGACCACGGCAACGTATCCATCCAAGTGATCTCGCACGGACCCGGCGACATCAACGCATCGCTCTGTACCGCCGTGAACGATGACCTGGCCGCCGCCGTTGCGCAGCACCCAACGCGACTCGCAGGGTTCGCGATGCTGCCGATGCGCGAGCCCGCCGCCGCCGCAGCGGAGCTGGAGCGCTGTGTGAAAGAGCTGGGGTTTGTGGGTGCGCTGATCGAGAACCACACGGGCGGGGAATACTACGATGACGAGCGCTTCTGGCCGGTCTTCGAGAGAGCGCAGGCGCTCGACGTGCCGCTCTACATCCACCCGACGTTCGCCAGCGATTCGATGATGGAGTACTACAAGGGAAACTATGACGACTCGGTCGCGCTGGCGTTGAGTGCCTACGGCTGGGCCTGGCACGCGGAGACGGGCTTGCATGTCCTCAGGCTCTACGCCAGTGGGGTCTTTGATCGATATCCGACGTTGAGGATCGTCATTGGCCATATGGGTGAGATGCTTCCCTTCCAGCTCGAGCGCGTTTGCACGGTTTCGCAGAGATGGGGCAGGGAGAGGAGTTTTCGCGAAGTCTGGAGGAATAACATCTGGGTTACGACCAGTGGCATGTTCTCGTTGACGCCGTTGGCGTGTCTCCTCAAGACAACCTCGATTGAGCATGTGCTGTACAGCGTTGACTATCCCTTTTCGACGAATGAGAAGGGTCTGGCTTTTCTCAGAGAGATTGAGGAAAGTGGTCTTATTACAGGTGAGGACCTGGAGTTGTTTGCCTATCGGAATGCGGAGAACCTACTGGGCGTCAGAGCAGGAAAGTTGTGAATGATGGTTGATTGGTTGGTCCGTTGATTAGCATACCTATTCATACATGAAGCAGTTTGGCGGCAGCTCTATGCGGTGGCTTTACGTGCCATGCCTTTTTCTGTATATACATAATGTTGGACAAGGCTATATAGCTCTTTTCATGTAAGATCAATTTAGTTTGTCTGCTGCTGTATACTCTTAATCAGTCTGGACTTGCATTCTGCTGGAGGCGTTGGTACAGACGTAACTGGATTTCCTGGTGCTATTCTTCACGCAGAGCAGCTTTCTATACTAGTCTCTGCTGTAGCCTGTGTAATGTGTATGTGTACCAAGACTATAGACTCTACTCAACGCGGCGCATCATTACCAGCTCCCCTTTCTCCCGAACTCCCTTCTTCCCCTCCCACGACCTCCGCATTTATACTGGCAGGTCCCTTGACTACCTTCCCAGTTTTCAACCCTGGCCCTCCCAGGTCTGAACCCGGAGCAACAGCAGCGTGCTCCTCCACAAACCGCCTCCCATCCTCTCTTCCCTTCTCCACATCCACGAACATAATCGCCACCATCGCCGCCGCACAAATCGCAAACAGAAACGGAAACCCCATCCAGTTGTTCTGGGTGTCATTGATGATGGCCTGCACGACATTGGGACCGATAATTGAGGACTAGATATCATGTCATAAAATAGTCAGTCATCAGTAATGATTTTGCCGGTGGCTTGGGTGGGGGAGGAGCTAGGATGGTGGTTCTTACCGCGCGATTGGTGATCCCGAAGAGAGCGAAAAACATGTTGTCGTACCCGGGCGGCATGAGTTCGCTGATCATTGTTTGGGCGTACTGGAGGATTGAATGCGTAAGTGGACCTTTCTTCGTTGTGTGGTTTCACAGACAGAACATTCGGGACTCTTTAGAGATTAGGTTGAAGGGGGAAAGGGCTTACGGCGTAGTATGGGGCTTGGAACAGGCCGAAAATGACATTGTAGAGATAGAACTCCCACTGGAGGCATAGGAGCTTCTTGTCAGTGTTCTTTCTGCTTTGAAGGAAGCATTTCGAAATTTGGACATACCCGGTGATGATACCCAATTCGCTTGGTCCATAAACCCAGCATTCCCCAAAAGGGAATGAGAACGGTGAAGAAGTTTGTGATGAGAAACATGCGTTTTGTGCGAATCTTGAAGTAGTTTTGAATGTACCAGAAGCCGAATGTGGAGGCTATTGAGCATGTAGCTTGGACTATTCCCAGGTATGTGACTTGGATGAAGGAGAATGCCACGAAGTCATTTTGAATGATCGAGACTAGGGTGCCTATGGCGGAGAACTTAGCAAGCAGAAACCAGGCAGATTGAATTCCACTAACCTGTGGTGTTGAGGCCATCTGCGAGGAGAAAGTATGCCACGAAGTAGAGAAAGGTCTGCGGCAAGGACCGGACCTTACGCAGCGCGAGCCAGATTTGCTTGAAGCCAATAGTCGCGTAGCTTGATCCTTCAGGGACCCTAGGGCCGGGGCGTTTCTGCTGGAAGATGAACCACCAAATTCCTAGAATCACCCAGTCTGGCTTGATCAGTATTCGCCTTCGAACGCAATGGGTAAGAAACCGACATGAGTTTGTCAAGCAAAGTGCCAGGTTGTTCGAGAAAGAGTACTTCTGGAGAGGCAAAAGCACGCTCAGATTCAGAACCAACACTGCCAAGTATCCGATATTGCTGTGTGCAGTGGAAACGTTGCTAGTCTCTATTAGCCGCCATATCTAAAGTACACAAGGACGTCTGTACCTGATGTGATTCCGCTCCAAAGACTCAATTGCGTCGTACTCCCTCTTGCTAATTTTCTCTTCTTTCAAATCTCGGCGGGCGCTTTGGACATGCGGCATATGGCGCGCGAGCCTCGGAAACACGGCTGCATAGAAGACTAGTGTTGCGCCATATGCGACGTACGAGATCACGTAAAGGCCCATTGCTGTGGGCCATTGATTAGGGTGTCGGACGGACATCATAGCGTATTGCATGGCCCAGCAAATCACGGTCAAGACTAAAAGCAGCCAGCGACCAAAGGAGCCATAGTCTGCTGCACTTCCGAGCCAAACAAATGTCACTGTCATGAACGTGAAGCTCAGCCCGTTGGCGATCAGGACAACAGAGGAGACAGAACGAGTTCCTCCGGCCCATGGAACGACACAGGGTGAGTTATCTGTGCATGGCTTGCGAGGGTTAGTGCCTGGCTGCCACCCAGCACCATTGAGCGCCCATTGAAAGCTGGTGAAATAATGGCATTAGCTCAGGGCTTGAGGGGTATGATCAGCCTGGCAGGTTGGAATAGACAGACAGTGTTTGAGTGTAAGAGCCAGGTCCAACTCCATTATCGCCTAGAATGCAAACCGTCATTTATAGCTTGCTGCGTGTGGCGATAGGGGCATTTACCATTGTAGTACAGATAATATGACCAGAGCTCTCTGCGAGTCGTTGTGGGCTGTTCGGACGTGTCTTCTGCTCCGAACACATGCTCAATCTCGGCTGTACTGCGAGATAATTGCTCTGGAGATAAGGGTGTAGTTGCCTCTTGGCCAGTATGCTTGATGTTGGAGCTGGGATCGTGTTCGGCGCTGCTCTCGTTTCCGGCGTCCGTCAAGGAGACTTGTAAATCCATGCGGCGCGTCGTGCGTGCCATCTTGAGTTTGTGATTTTGGTATACTCGTATGCTTAAGCTGTCTATTCAAGTGATGATTGAGGAGGAGTCTTGAGATAAGGAGACGGAAGGGATGAGGAATGCCGAACCAGGACGCACGAGCGGCAGGTGTCGTTGATTGATTGTCATTCAACCCCGCAGAGACGCCTCGGGCAATCCTAGCTCGTCGCCTGCAGTTGACTTATCTTAGTTTCTGTGGAGCGATCTGAAACCGATGATATCAACATAGCCAAATATGGTCTATTGCCAACATATAGAATTTCCTGAAGGCAGAATGGAGAAGCAAGAGGTGTAAACTACCTTATACAAGCAAGCTTTCATAGCCGATTCAAACATCACAAAATAATCCTGTTCCTGCTAGCGCCTCTGCTTACCTTTTTAGGTCTACCCTTTTTGGCCTGTGAAACTTATTAAAACAACTTAACATTACTTAGAATATATGTACTTGTTAAGGATGAAGTGAAGGAGTATTTAATTACATG